ATTGTTGTTATTATTCCCGATTCTCTCCCCCATCCCACCGGGGGGGCGGGTAGTGAGCGAACTGCTGTGTGGTGTTTAGTGGCCTGCCGGGTTAAACCACAACACCAGGCACTGCACAAATACACAAAGTACATAAAAGGACGTTCCTTGTTCCAAAACCTATACAGTCTTTTTCTACAAATGAACACCCAGCATTAGCCTGTTTCTACTCTGAAACCTACAATAGTTTTACCACTGCTGCACGGCCTCTTCCGAAGTCAAATGGCACAGGAGTGGCCTAAAAAGCCCAAAGCCCCATGTAGATAGTCTCCTATTACACATTTAAGATCTCTCTCTCCCCCCGCAGTGAAAATGTCCATTTGGGTCTCAATGACAAAGGAGAACTCATTTGGTACTTTTCTTAAAGAAATGGAGAGAGCAGCCAGTCAAAGTGGCTGCTAAGAACACAGGGTTTCCAGTGCAGGCAAGGCTGGAAAAGGACCTTGCAAAGAGGACCTCCCGCCATCACCGCACTGTATCCAACCTACATTTCAAGTATTGGAAAACTTGCTCAATTCCAGGGCGGAGAGACAGACAGGCCAGCTCTGAGTCAGAACCACAAGCTAAATCTGTAGGTCATGGAATTAAACTTCAGATCTAGTATCGCACTAGAAATGTCTTTTTTTTAATAACATTCCCCAGTAGTTCAGTCCTTAACTTGGTAGCTTAGATTCCCTCTGAACACTCTCACAGATCCACAGACTTAGGTCAAGGTGGTGGCTACTCCTTCCCATTCTCAATAAAAACTTCTACATAACCAGAGCTCACAGCTATCAACACTTCAGCCTCCACGGCCTATCAGCTACCTTTGACACTACCAGCTGTGGTTTTCTCCTAAAATATTAAGAGAAATTTTATTCTTTACAAATTTTAGGAGGGAAGCCCTCCTCTAGCTTTCATGACTATCTCTTCTCGTGGCTTAATCCTCTTGAATAGCTCCTTCATTTTGCACTTTAAAGAATCCGCCCCCCAACCTCTTCTGGCTTTCAGTTTCAGGTTCACGTGGTCCTCTGGTTCACATGGACCTCGGTGACCTTCTCTTTCTTTCTGTATCTGTTCTCTGTGTAATGTCTCCTGAATTTGCTACCTCTGTACTAGTAATTCACAGATCTAACTCTTCTTCCAGTCAAGCTAAAAACACAGTCTTCAGCATCTGCCTGTGGATATCGAGATAAAGCTCAAGATGATTAAAACAAAGGTCTTATCTTTCTTTCACATAACCTGACTTGTTTTCTCACTTGCTGAGGATATTATCACTATCTTGCCTATAAACAGCTCTCATCTTCAACCTTCTTATATGTACATCTTTATATCCTTCCATATAACATTCCTTCCCATCAGGACTTTGATGTTTTGCATCTCAGCATCCTCTTTCCTGACCTTGAAAAGTGCCCTCTTGTCACGCTTATATCTATCCTGAATGCTGCTGGTAAGATCATGTTTCTAGACCATGGCTTTTTTATATTGCCTCTTTTTTTTTGCTTTACATTCTTCCATTGTGAAGCCCTTTTCTGTAACATCAGACAAAAACTATATGCCATCACTTCCAAAGCCATTTGTGACCTGTCCCTTCCTACCTTATCAGAACCCATTTGTTGCTATGAGACTGATCCTGCCTCCGACAGGATCCTGCCTCAATGGCAGCCTCCACGTCTCACTTCTGTACTCCAGTGTGCACTTCTGTATTTCCTCCCAAGCTGCTCTCATGCAGAGAGGATCTTTCTGCAAACACCTTCAAAGTAACCTCGTCATCATTCTTTTAAAACTCTCAAAAGCTTACCTTTGGCCTGCAAAATTTTTTTTGCCAATGGCTAAGCTCTCATGTGCCGAGACTCCTGTCTACCATTCCAGCCAAGACTGTTTTATTGCCTCCTTCTGCTTCCCCATCTGTCTGCTACCCTCCTGTCTCTCATAGTTTGCTTGCAAACTCTCTAGAGCAGGGTTTGTCATCTTTCAGCTCATCCTGTGTTTGTGCAGAACCTTGCATATGAGGTTCCTGCTCCACTACCAGAACCACTTTGAGAAATGATTTTATTACTGTTATTATAATAATCACACATGAGGTAGTTACAACACATTCTTTTTCCCTTACACAGCACTAGGGATAACACCCATATCCCTGCCACTCCTATTCAAGCAGCGAGAGTTTGTGCAGCATAGTGGAGCAACTTTATCTTTGTTTAATAAAAGGCAGTGCCACTACCATAAAGTAGCGATACAAACAACGCCCTGTACTACATCATGCTGAAAATGCATGAGAAAAGCACCAAGTCCCTAGAGCAAAAGCTAACTCTGGTTTAAGCATAACCTGCTCCCATGTTATCAACATGTTACTCCAACATGGGAGGTTCAAGTCGTACAATATGTAACTATACACCTTCAATTTGTCAGCACCGCAATTATCACTACAGTTTCACTTTGTTACTATTATCAGTGAGCATTCTTTTGTTATCACTATTATTGCCACAGATTACTCACCATCAGGTTTAAAAGGGATTTTATTTTTGTAAAAGCGGAGATTGCACAAGTCATTTTGATATCGAAGATCTTTAAAGTTCTGCTGAAAAAAAGGAAATAGGACATTATCAGCCTACAGAAACCTATCAAGAGTATCCGGAAAGTGACACTGTGCTCTCTGAATAATTTGAGGACAAAAAAATTTCAGAGTTTTATGAAAACTGGAAATCACTTAGAATTACTCATGCACTTAGAAGATTCAGTTTAAGGATCTGCATGTTCCTTCTGGCTGGTAACTTCTACTGAGGCAGAGGTTAAAGCAGCAAGCATAGCAGCACCTTGACTTTGGTCTCAAGGAACTTCCAAGATGCAAATAATAGTAAGTCCAAACTCTATCATCCACCCTCTTCGATGCTCAAGGCAAAAGCCTTTTTCTGGGCTCCTACCGCTGTTCCCAGGCTTACACATCTCACGTGATTGCACGTACACCTGGGATGAAAAGACATTGCACTCCTCTCCCACTGGCGTATGTTGGGCCTCTGCATCAGCTTTTTGATTCTTCTAATTTCTCATATTTATTAGGCACCACAAAGGTTTAGGAATGTTTGGGTTGTGTGCTGTCCTCTACTAAAAAGGCAATTTTAAACCATAAAATATTCTTACTGGATACTGGTGTCGGTACTTGTATAAATCTCTTGCTGCGTAGAAGCTTCTCTTTGGCTTGGCTGTCAGCTCAGTTCCATCACCACTCTGAAACAGTTAGAAAGTAGATAATAACCATACACAAACACACTAAATAGCAAATTTGTGTAATATTAAAAAAACGATTTTTCATGATGTATTTCAGCAATGTAAACATACAGAAGTGCATGTATTTGCCTACTGTTTAGTCAAACACTGAAAATCTCCCTGCTGAATACTTAACACCACACACTTTAAGTCTAAATTAAAATACAAAAGCAAGACTATGAAATGTCCTTCCAATGAGACTGAATTCGACTTAAACCAACAGGTTGATTGTCATTTCCAAATACAAGACTTCAAAGTAACCTAGCAAGTGCTAGCACAAGATGAAATGAGTAACTGAACATGAAAATGCAGAGACTACTCATTTTGAACAGGAAATCATACTATTTGCAAAGATTATTTGTCCTGTGTACATTGACTTAATTGCTATCATTGCATCCTGTGGAAGAAAATTAATAGTCATGGACAAGCCAAATTGCAGTTCTAACACCTTCTGGAACCATTTTCTATTATTTGTTTCTCAGAACTTAAATTTAAAGCCTAGTAAGAAGAACCACTAAAGCCCCAAACAAAAACCTGCTTGAGAATACATCTGTACGAGAACTTGCACTGGCCCCCAGCTGTTCGGAAGCTGTGACCTGAAACAGCCAGAGCCCATCAAGGTCAATGCAAATAATCCCACTGACTTTAGAGAACACTTGAAAAAGCTGCACATGTTGAAGAAAAACAGAAAATGAAGCGTTAGTGTACAGAGACTTCAACTTGCTACCAACACCTCTATTTTCTTTGTAATTTCTTTATAACCATACTGCAGCAAAGAGTTTTGTGTTCTTCAGTCTTGTAAAATAAGTCTCTACACTAAAACCAAAGGCCAAATGAGAAAAAAAAAAGTCATTCTGTTCCTTGCAATACACATGTAATAGGTTAAAGTCAAGCCTAAAAAGGGAAGTTCCCTGTGACTGCACTGGACATTTGCCTGTATTATTGCCCGTCCCATTGCTTATCAATCACACGTTAAGGACAGACAAGCATCTGTTTTCGTTCTTCCTTTTGCAAGATCAGCTTTGACCATACCCACAGGCAAGACACGCTTACTTGAACAAACAACACCCCTTGACACTCAGTTATCAGGCATCAGTATCACCATGTATCAAGCAGAAAAGGGAAAATGCTTATGCTTATTTAATTTTGCGCAGTTTCTGAACCAAATATAAATGTGATACATCTAACGGTAAAAAAAGACCCAGCTGGTCCACCCTGCATTCAGTTCTAACTGCAATGAAATTATTGGCAAAGCAACCCTTTATTTCTTTAGGGTTGGCATTTTTAAAGGTTCCTAAAAGACAGAAACTTGCTCTGAAAATTCTTCACCTCGGACCCACCGAGGGGTCACAAACCCGTTGCCACGTTTGATCCAGCATTCAGATTTTTAACCCATTTAATTAAGCAGCCAAGTTCAAGACTGACTACATTTAATTTAAAGCAGAACTTTCCCTAGAAACAGCAGCAGCGGGACTGACAAGGACTTCAAGGCCTCAATTTTCTCCCAAGAGTAGGTTACCATAACGATGGGGGGTGAGAAATCGGCTCATTTCTACTTCAGATGAAGGCTAGTTTATCACCA